GAGAATGCACGTACAGCGTGTCCCAGCCTACCACAGCGTAGAAGCGAACGCCGTACTTATCCGGCTTTGGGGGCATGTACGTGCGCGCTCTTGAGCGCGCTTTAGTTGCCACAGTCATCTCGTCGATGGCACTGACTCCAGTGGGGGTAGCAAACGCTGCAAACCGCTTCTGGAAATGCCCGAGTATTGCTCTGCTGTGCCACAGCGGATCGCGCACCTTGTCAATCGATTCGTCACCGTTGGCATAGAACTTTAGGGCCGTTCGAATATGCTGAAACCGCGTCCTCTCCATGGTCTCTGGGAATGAACTCTGACCGAGAAAACGCTTTTCCGACCAATACTCACTGATATCGTTCAGCATGTAAATGCTCATGGCAATCTCCAGCCCGCAATACGCATCAAACTCGCTCTCCGTGGGTGTATTTTGTCCTCGAGCAGACTTTTCAGCGGATGTCCACGAAAGCAAGCTACTGCGACCCGATGAAGTGAAAAACAGCGAAAATAATCCATATTCTCCATTCTCACGATAGGCTTTGGCTATTTGCTGTTCCACCACGACGTGTAGTCCACTCTGCATGTTCAGCGACTCCATGTACGACTTCCCCATGACGCTTGGTGTGCATATGCTGAATGCAGTTAGGGGGGTACAATTGGTGCTCTGTACATCTGCTCCAGTGTCCTTGTGCAATGCGTTGACACCACGCGGCAGATACGTAGGGCGAGGCTGCTCACCGCCGATGATAAGCGAGGCCTCGGTGGCTCGGATTTGCACCTCAGCAGCACAGCACTGCTCTCCATGATCGCTGCGGCAACCTGCATCGGCTGTGAGCTGACTGTAGCCTCCAGCAACACTCTCACTACGCGCAACATGCTGTCCCATACTGACACTGCGCCGTACAACACCTCCTTCTCGTCATTGGGCGCCGCTGGTATCTCCACCGAGCCCCGCTTTATCGCCAGCAATCCACGCGTGGTCTTCATCAATTTGAGCACCATCATCTTCGTCAGCCACCCACGCGTCTTCTCCGCCAGTCTGAACGCCGTTATCGTCACCAGCCAGCCTCTCCCAGTCCTCCACGAGGTCTTCCACGGCGATGTCGTCAAGGGCGTACTCCTGCAGCGCCTCCAGGTCCCCCCAACCAGCTAAATTCTCGCCCGACATCGTGCCGGGGTGTGCGGGGGCAAGCTGAAACCTCTATGCCGCTTAGACCGCGGTTACGAACACGACTTGGCCCCATATCGCGACTCCGCCAGATGCTGCTATAGGTCCGATGGGACCGCTAAGAATGTCGTGGGCTGCACTGTCCGATGTACATGCCACTTTTTAACCAATAAGAATCTGCAAAACGCTCTGTTACAGGTCCAGGTGAACCTCTAAGCGGTCTGGTAGCTAAAGGGTTAAACCGCCTCTGTTGCGTCTCAGCAAGTGAGATCACGCGTTAAATCCACAATAGCAAAATGTAGTGAAAATATTTAGCAACCAGTTTCGTGTCACTTTTAAACTTATATCCAGTATGGCTGTAGCCAATATCACCAGATCGCCCATGAGACAATTTTGTGATTAGGTCAAGGCTGAAATTATTATTACAATCATCTGTTAAGGGTATTGATTTACAAAAACCGAAGGACCAAAACGGGTGAGACACAGCTCCTAAAACAAGCGTTGACAGCTCAGTCGGTTAACGGCAGTGTTATTGAGGGCCAGGGTATTTGGTGTGGGTTCGAGTCCCCCCGATTGCATCGGAGCAGGGTATGTCGCCGTGCAGTCTTGCACGGTTAATTCTCCGCGCTAAATGGTAAGTACATGCACATATATTGTATCTGCACTTGAATCGGTTGTTAGCTAACAGCAAATGTGTGTGAAGTTTTATTTGCCTCCTAGAGCCTCTACAGTCCCCTGTGCGGCGTCTGTAGCTTTGTGTCTCTTCTTCTGCTTTGTTTTGTTTGTGCTTTCCTGCTCCAATTCATCCAGCCGTTTAGCAGTCAAAATGTAACCGCCAACAGAGGCCGTCATTCTTCTTCTTATCTTCGTCGATGGCTGTGTCAGCGTCAGAATCTCACGGCGTATTGCCAGCTCACCCATCAACCAGGCTGCAATCCGGAAGTCCGCCGGGCTTCCATTTCGTGTGTAGATTGTCATGCACTGGTGCATTCTCACCAGCGATAGTGGATATAGCCCACACACTCGAAATCCTGACGATACGTTGGTGGAAAAAAGACATCTCGTACAGGCCAAACAGGAAATCCTTACCGCGGTAGCTTTGTCAATCGAACACCCTCCCTCAGGATCCTCATCGCCAAAATATTCACTAGAGCACGAAGTTTACCCTTAAACGATGCGAAAACAGTCACATCAAGAGGTTGAAAAAGGTGTGTTGCGTTCGCAGGCAGGCAAACCATTATAATCTTTAGCTCGACTGCTTTCTCGACAATAGAGCGCGAGTAATGGGAGGTAGAGTCATCCATTACCAAGAGGAGAGGACGCTTTTCGGTGGCTGGAACAGACTTCTAAAAAAACACGAGCCATGACTCAAATAGGGTCGAACTTATGAAACCAGACGGGGTTGCCGTAATACCAGCATCAGGTGCGTCACAGCTATTAAGAATATCCAGCGGCACGGTCTTTCCAGGAACAATAAAAACAGGCGGCACAACGAAGCCCGAGGCACTTCCACAAGCGATAATTGTCATGTGAAAACTTGTAGTTGGAACAGATGTCCACACGTTTTTAGAGCGTCGAGCGGAAACCACACGTTTTCCCTTCGACGCTTTGTAGAATGCGGTTTCATTGACGTTAAAGACGCGGTCGGCTGTAGCACCATTTTCGATAATGACCTTTGCCATTGAGTTAAATAGCTGGTGAGCGTCGGTATAATCAACCGTATTGCGAGCTTTAGACAGCATTTGAGCGAAGCGATCCGTGAGCTCGGGATGACGCTCTCGGAACCGCGTGTACCACCCTCCAGTGACAGCCCTACCAGCGACCAGCTCAGATTTTTCCACCGCTTTCTTCATGATCTCGGCACGTCCTACCGGTTGGCGTACAATTTGGCGTCCAATGACCCATTCTTGAATTGCATCCTCAGCCTCTGTCGGCAGCAGAGGCTTTGGACCTCGTCGCTGTCGGGTAACGTCGTTCTTTGCGTTGCGGGCCCACTTCCTCAGCGTGCTTCCTGGAATGTTGAGGTCCACGGCAACGGCGGAGGCTGGCTCACCGCCTTGGACACGCTGAACTGCACAGTCGAGGGCTTTTTGGCTGTACGATGGGGCCATTTGTAGCAATGGTGGCAAAAGGAGCGGTCTCGAGTCAAATCACAATCGATTTGCTATTGTGAATGACAGGTTCACAAGCACTTAGTGTTTTTACCAATAACGTTATTTTTTTTTAAATAGCCCGCTCTGATTGGGCATGCTCTTGACGCTACAAAACTGGTTTTCGATATGAAACTGGTTGCAGACCTTAGTAACTTTTCACTTGTCTAAATTCCAACCTGTTCTTATTATGCATTTTGATACTTTTAAAAACGTATACTACGCAGCACTTTAGTACTACAGTATTATTCTATGGATACTTATAATGTATCCAGAGGATCGCAGACCCTCGGTAAACCTGTACGAAATCTGGCCGCAGTTGCGTTAGAAAAACAGTTTGATTGAGCTGTACGTAAAACGATCGCAATTCGTGATGAAATGCGAAACTTTATCTCAGAATGGGTGAATATTGACCCGGTCGGACAAGAACAACATTCAAACAGCCTTATGTGTAGCCAAGTGACGGAAACACTGCACCGTTCTAAGCTCCTACCAAGTGTGTATTCTTATTGAAATGAATGTTCATTAAGTAAGACTTGGAGAGCGACTTCCACAATGAGGAAGCGCAATACTTTTCAATAATATTCATGGGCAACGCACGGCGTTAGTAGTACCTGTAGTGTCATTGTCAACGTTATACTATAGTACTACGTAGAACTAGTAGCACCTAATACTACTATGTCTTCTTAGAGAAAACTAATACTGATTTGCTAGTACTACTACCTATCCCGAAATAACAAAATTAAGTACCAAAACAGCAATTGAAATCCCTATAAAAACGCATTGTCCTGTATTTATTAATCGCGAAAGGGCTAAGGCTGTTTCGTGCATTGGTCCTGACGTGGTCAACTTTCTAAATGGAAACTCAGCTCGAGCTAGTTTTTGTGACTAAATAATGATTTCACGCCGAAGACGAATGCTGAAGCCTGAGCTGGCAAGCCTCACGCGGTGTGAGCCGTATCAGGTCATTGGCTCCTTGCGGGATCTAGGGTGACTTGACAAGTCCACCCGAACGCTCATCGTTGGTTGAAAATGGTAAGTCTGATACTTACTAAATGCTGTTATATATATCACCGTATTTTGGCAAAATAATAGGTAAAACAATGGAGAAATCCACAGACCAATCGCTGTTTAAGAATTTTTTGTGAGCTCCCATAATATGGGAGCTCACATATTATGATTTTGTATGCATTCTTTCCCACCCATACGTGACGAAAGCTCACAACTACTGGGTATTCACTTTGTCGAGAACGGCGCTGCTGGTGGTAGACAGAAGGAAAGTGCAAGTATTAACCAGGCGTTCGCTGCCACGTACGTGAGGAACGAGTGGGCATACACTCTAATGCTTTTGGCTACAATCTTCGATGGACTGGTTGAAGGTGCAATACCACATGACGAACGACGAGTGGAACTTCATGGAGAACTGGATTGACACAACGATTGGTGGAACACTGCTGACACAGCTAGCTACTACAGTATACTGTAGTCGATGTTTGTGAAATTGATGTACACACAATGAAGCAAAACGAATACTGCATTTCATTGTTTTGCACAATTAAGCAAAATGAATACTGCATTTCATTGTTTTGCACAATTAAGTTTCGTGTTTGGTCACAGTTCTTTTATCCCAAAGGCAGCACACTTCGTTTAGGTCTGTAGCGAACTTATCATTCTCCAGCACACCTCCGCTAGCATGCCTTACCCTCTGATCCGTCAGACGGAATGTACCAGCAGTGCTTGGTCGCCACGCCACCAATGGTCGTGTCTGTCCATTTCTCCGTAAACTTCCAGTTGCTGTCGGCAGTGTGATACTGTAGTTTCAGCCAGTCTTTCGACGCCTGGAGTGAAATGAAACCGTACTCTCCAATCGTGTACGACCACACGTTCTTGACGAGGTCCGTCGCATAAGGCTGGATGGTACTCACTTTGCCAGACTGACGGCCACCACCGACACCATTCTCGATGAAGTGGACTCCAATAGACTTCGAATAGTCGTGCTTCTCAGCGTGAGTGTGGCCATGAAGAAATGCTCGAACACCAGAGTTCCTCAAAGTATCAAACCACTTTTTCATGCCAGGCTCGGCGTAGTGGTCGTACGGACTGTAGTGGCTGTTGACGATCTTCCACGTTGCATCAGATTTGGCTGCCAGTTTTGCCACTTGAGCGCGTGACTCGTTGCCCCATTCAGCAAATTTGGCCTTGCAAGTGTCGAACATGGCCTTGTCACCACCAAAACAATATTTGCCTTCCCGAGTAATCGTGTTGCAGCCGGAACTGTCGTTTTTCGCGTACCCGTAGCATTGGCAACAAATGAGTTCGGCACTGTGGTCATTGTCGTTCGTGTCGACATTGAAGATGTCGATGCTCACACCCGTGGCAGGGTCATTTACCCGGTGGACGTAGAAATGACCGTCCATAGCCCAGCGATTGTCGTTGGGGCTCGTGTACTCAGATTGCCACTTGAGCTCGTTCTCAAGACCTTGAAACAACTCTGCAGTGTTGTTGCACGGAACAAGCTTGTCTCCACTACTGCAGATGTAATCAGAACCACCATAGTCGTGGTTGCCCATGACTGCCACCCACGGTACGTTCTTGATGTTTTCTCCATCGTACTTGGCCTCAAATGACGCAGCGAATCGGCTGTCACGCTCACCAAGGTAGTTGATGCCATTCCAGTAGAAATTATCACCATGGGCAAGGACGGCCTTGGGTTTGATGGACGTTCCTGCTTCGATGTTCATCAAAGTCGCTACGACTTCTTGGGAGTTGAGGTCGTAGTTGTTGGAGTTACTTCCGCAGCACGACCCCTTGTACAGCGTCGCCCCCCAATCGCCAATGCCGTAGACCGATAGTGAGTACTTAGCCGATGCCGGGTCTGACACAGAAGTCGAAGGCTGAGCTGTCGTAAGCCCTGCCTTCATTGTCGTGCCACTCGAATCACCCATAATGGCTAGCAGCGCCGCAGCGTCGGCCAGCATCTTGTAGTTCAGCATTTTTACTGTTCCTGGTATTCCGGGGGTTGCTCTCTCCAACGAAAAAAGAAGAATGAACTAAAAAAAATGCGACCACAATAAAAGTAATCAGGGGTTTACGGTATCTTTTACCGTCACGGAATCGACACACTGGAAAGAGCGTTTAGCCATATGGCTGACATGAATCCCTCTCGTGTCATGACAATGTGTCTTTGAACACATTTGGAGTTTCTTTGCCGCAGTTTCTAGACTAGGATTTGGCAACATCAAGGTGATCTGACTACGAACTTCAATCGCGCCGAGCCTATCTCAAATAAAAAATTAGGGGGGGGGCTGTATTTGAATACGTGTGACTGAAAGAATTGTTAGCCGGAGCTCATTCCTTTATCTCACGAACACAACCTGTAGCTCGTGGATTATGGTGATGCATACCGTCATGGTCTTGGCAACAAAGCAAACAACAAAAATCCCCTGAATAAAATATACTTTTAGAGGTAATATGGAAGATCAGTTCAGAGCAAGCCTTTTAAAAACGCATTTTGAGCAGATATAACAGGGTATAGAAGATTTAGTGCTTCGCTTTGCACCAGACGATTACTCTGTACGTGAAGTGTCTGTGAGCATAACAAGGTCTCTGTAATTAACAAATGCATACGTGTATAGTATTTCTTTGAAGTTAGTAGTATAGAATATATTGTTCTTGTGAAGTTTCTTTGAAGCTGGGTACATGCAAGATAGGCGAACTGGTAGAATTTCCGCTTTCTGTATATGCGGCACATCGACTTTACTTTATTTTGAGTTCAACTGTCCTACATGTAGCTGTAAAAAGGTTTGTCATGTCGATTTGTTAAATTTAATCGGTCAGGACTTACAACTCTTGAGGAGTAAACGAACACTCAACCCTATTTTACATTTTATGTGTCCAGCTCGTACATTTAATTCTTAAGTCTTGTCGAAAGAGAAAACTGCTTTCTGTGGCCTGTACTGTACATCAAAATCTGAGGTTTATGGATGCACTGTATTCATGTTTGTGGTGATGATGCCCAAAAATCCGTAGTCGGGATCCGGGTTCAGTAAGTTACTATCAGTAACAAAGTGCGACGCCACGATACAGTATGGATTGTACTGTGGACCGGTATGTACAATCTCAGGTACTTTATTCATCGCTCTTTGAGCCTTACTTAGACAAAAACAGGAAGCAATCACGCAAGCTTGGATGGCGTTCTATTACGTATCGATTATCAACGATCATTGAATCACGACAAGACAGCGGAGTTGAGGTGGTACTGTAGCTGTAGCGGCAGACGTACAGTTCATGACGCAGTGTTTATTTTTAATGTTTACTGCTCATGATCCAAAACTGCCTTAACCTCGTGGTAGAGCTACGCTTTCCGTGCATTATTAATATCTCCAGATAATAACTCGAGGTGTCTGTACGCGGGGCAGCTGGAACCTCTTATTTGCTCAAATCTCGTGGGTTTACTGACCCAGACTGGATCCCAGGTTTTGATAGCAACACCGTACTGTATTTTTTTGCAGTTTTCTTTTCTAGGATAAAACGGTTTCGTAAATAATTTTCCTTGATTATCTTCGGGATCTGTAGAGCGGTAAGTCTGATCGTAATCGATTGCGATGTACTGTACCTCAAAGCAGTGTATCCACAGGTTTTCTTTACAACTCCATCAACCATCTACATGTACGAATGATTAAAGTTATTAGCTCCTCATTCTTCATTTCCCCTGGAAACGCACAACCGTCACGTTCCGTCGACAAAGTAATTCGAAACGAGTATGCTGAATAACAGAGAAATATTCAACGCTGCTGTAGCTTTCTGCTTGGTAAGAGCTCCAGCCGCCTTGACGGTGACTGCTAAATTGACAGTGGATCTGTCACTGGATCCTTCATCGGCTCAGTATGCGTTGTCAGCCTTCGCTACTGGTGATTGGGGTGCAACGCTGTACAAGGGCTCATGTTGCAGAAGTGACTCCAACAACTACGATCTCCACTCCCAAAAGGTGGTGGCAACGTTGATGGACATCGAAGCCGGAGCGTCAATCAAGCCCAAGGCTGTCCTAGCCCATGGGGACAACTTGTACTGGAACGGAATCAACTATCTCAGCGAACGGGATGGACGTTTTGCTGCGTCGTTTGAAGACAAATACGACGGAAACAACATCAAGAATGTCCCCTGGGTGGCAGTTATGGGCAACCACGACTACGGTGGCTCTGACTTCATCTGTAGTAGCGGAAACAAGCTCGTTCCCTGCAACAGTACGGAGGAGCTGTTCCACGGCCTCGATAACAAACTCAAGTGGGAGGCGGAATACAAAAGTCCTAACGATAACCGTTGGCGTATGGCAAACGAACACTTCTACGTCTATCGTATTGAGGACCCAGCCTCAGAAGTGAGTATCGACATTTTCAATGTCGACACGAACGACGCCGATGTTCACGCTGCCGATCTCGTATGCTGTCAGTGTTACGGCTACGCGAAAACCGACAATGCCGGCTGCAACACTATCAAGCGTGAGGATAAGTACTGCTTTGGTGGTAATACGACCATGTTTGACACCTGTATGGCCAAGTTTGCTGAATGGGGTGCCGATTCCCGTGCTCGGCTGGCTCAGGAGGTAAAGCAGTCGACAGCAACTTGGAAGATTGTAAACAGTCACTTCAGCCCCTACGATCACTACTACGAGGCTGGAATGAACAAGTGGTTTGATGCTTTGAGAAACTCCGGCGCCCGGGTCTTCCTGCATGGCCACACTCACGGTGAAAAGCACGACTACGCGGAGTCTCTTGGTGTTCATTTCGTCGAAAATGGCGCTGGTGGTGGCAGACCGAAGGAATATGCGAGTACCATTCAAGACTATTCTGCCAAGTACGTGAAGAACGAGTGGGCGTACAATCCAATCGAGTACGGCTTCTTTTCGCTGCAAGCGTCGAAAGACTGGCTGAAGCTGCAGTACCACACGACGGACGACAAGTGGAATTTCACGGAGAAATGGGAGGACATGACAATTGGTGGCGTGGCAACCAAGCATTGCTGGTACATCCCGGCTGATGGATCGGAGGGTAGAGACTGCTAAGACGAGCAAAACTGAGGCGGGGGTCTGCTCTAGAATTACCCAAAAGTCCTTATTTTTTGTTTAATCAAACCCTGACCAACTTCTTCTCACGTATTCTTTCAATATCCACAAATAAGACAAATTCCACAAACCCAGCCACATCAACCGCGTAAATGTAACATGATCATCTTGCTATAATTGATTAAAATGTTTGACGGCCCGTATTAGCTAGGTCAAAATCATAGATTGAGCTTAAACGCCTCCCAGGAGAAGCAAAGTATCCTTGCTAATCGTACTTACACTATTTGGCTCGCTTAACCTTTGTGTCTCACTGAATGTGGTAAAAAAAAGAAACGTTCGCTTTCGTTCAGCATACTTACCCAGAGCTGGCAACATATTCAACGCGGTGTTGAAACTTACGTATCTAGCACGCTTTTCCTTCGCTGCCATCGACGGGAATGTACCAGCAGTACTTGGTCGCTACGCCGCCAACCGTTGTATTAGCGAACTTCTCCGTGAACGACCATTTGCTGTCAGTTGTATGGTACTGGAGCTTTAGCCAATCATTCGAAGCTTCCAAAGAGAAGAATCCGTACTCGTCGCCAGAGTACGACCACATATTCTTCGCGTAGGCGGTCGCAAACGGCGGGATGCCACTCGCAGACTCCTTCTGGATGCCACCTCCAGCGCCATTCTCCACAAAATGCAAGGCCAATGATTCCGAGTAATCGTGCTTTTCACCATGAGTGTGACCATACAGGAAAGCCTGGATGCCAGAGCCTCTTAGAACATCGACCCACTTGTTCATCCCGGCTTCAGCGTAGTGATCGTACGGTCCGTAGTGACTGTTAACAATCTTCCACGTCGCCGTCGACTGTTTCACTTTCTCTGCCAGTTGACTACGCGAGTCTTTTCCCCAGTCTGCGAACTTATCAAAGCAGGCATCGTACATGGCCGTGTCACCACCACAACAATATTTGTCTCCTCTAGCTACGCTGTTGCACCCCTTGCTGTCACCATTCGAGTATCCGTAGCATTGACAGCAGATGAGGTGGGCTCCGTGAACGTCAGCATCGTTTGTTTCAACGTTGAAAATGTCGATACTCACGCCCGTAGCTGCGTCCTCGATATGGTGCACGTAGAAGTGGTCGTCCAGGTTCCAGCGGTTGTCGTTCGGACTCGTGTACTCCGATTGCCACTTGAACTTGTAGTCCAGAGCTTGCAGTAGTGCAGCCGTGTTGGCGCATCGGGCGTTGTTGTCTCCCTGGTTGCACACGTAGCTGGCACCACCGTAGTCGTGGTTGCCCATTACATTCACCCACGGGATCGTCTTGATGTTTCTACCATTAAATTTCTCTTCGAATGTCGTGGCGAAGCGCGAGTCACGACCCTCTAGGCTATTTATTCCCGTCCAGTAGAAATTGTCACCGTGTCCGATGATCACCTTGGGCTTTATACCGGTTTCACCCGCTTGGATATCCATCAGGCTCGCCACAACGTCCTCGGCGTTAATATCGTAGTTGTTGTATGCTGCAGAACGCGAGCAACAGGACCCCTTGGTCACAGCTGTGCCCCAGTCGCCGATGGCAAAGGCTGACAGCGAGTACTTAGCTAACGCTGGGTCTGGTGCGCCACGTGAAGTCCTTACTATACTAAGCATCATCACTGCTTGTATCAAAGCCTTGTACCGGTAGCTCAGCATTGTTCTTGCTTTGGATAATTTCTCGTGTCTGCTCTCTGAGGCAAATCGAAGAATGAAGAAGTTCAGGCTGGGACGCGACGAAAGAGCGACACCAAGTCGAAAGTTACGTCTGGGTTCGTGGCATGTAGAAGGCCGAGGGCCGCCCAATACTTTGGTAATGTGATGTTATCGTAGGGACGAGTGGGCAACATGGAGGGATTAGGATGGTGAAGTTTCAGTCGGATACGTATCCAAATCGAGAGAGCAAACAAATCGGAGAACCGGTACTCGTAAAAAAAAAAGTCGGGTGCTTTTCTATTTAGGCATCGCTCTTAATCCGAGACCAGGTTTAATCAAGACCCATTAAGAAATCTACCCGAGGAGTATAATAATGCCAATGCATTCATTACAAGTTTCGTTGTCGCATCTAATATTATAGGCGACCCAGAGCGTTGCCCCGGGAGGAGAGCACAGGTCGTAGATTGAAATGGCTGTAGTGAAAGAGGTAGTAAAATTATCCAGACTTGAGGCGTTGCTTTGGCCTGGGAGGACAGTTGATTATGTGTGGTAAAAATAAAAGTGAAACACTACAACAGCTACCGGTATACAAATTTATGAATCTTAAAAAAATATATAATACGAAGTAATATTTAACATTTCTGCAAGTAAGAAATGGATGGCCTAAAGAGCAGCCGACAGAGACGACTATTGCTTCATAAACGTCGAGAAAAGGCGAGCTGTTGCAGCATGTTCAGCCAAGACAAGTGTGTCCAAGCGAAAGCACAAAAATATCAATTGGGCCAGCTTGCTGAAAGTATTCTGGATAAGGTGGCGTAGACGAGAGACCAGCTGGAGATATTACGACCCTGTGATAATTAAACGAAGCATCCAAAGCTTGCGCTAGCTATTACCACTGCTGCGGATGCGTGTCTTTGTCTTCAATAATGAGCGCTTCTCGCATTGGGCTTCCTAGCAGCATTCACACAACACTTATCACAGAACGTACGCTAAATATTTTGGACCCCTAGGGTCAGTCTGTGGACCATCGACTCAGGTAACAATCGCGCACACACCGTCAATGTAATAAAATTGGTTAGGCTGCCCAGCTAGCTAAAGCAGTCCTCCCAGTATTAATATTTGTGTGGAATTGTTGAAAGGCACGTCAACATGTAGTCATCTACCGTTGATTACGACGTACAGGCAAGGCAGACGCACCACACAGAAGACTATTGGTCGGTGGCGCCATGCTCCTTCAGGTGGCTCTGCGATTGGTAGCATGCAGCACTCTTCAGCGTGCTGCCCAAGACTTTACCCTTTTGCTACAGGCTAGATGTATATCAGCTCGAACTAGGACCACAAGTAGCTAGCGCACGATTAATCTCACTCTTCAAATTTCCAACAACTCAACAGGTTACGATTTCAAGGCGCTTCGACGAAGAGTACCATGAAGAAGCCCGACGACCTGCTCTGTTCCGACAATTACTTCCATTGGGAGTTTAATATGAGGATGGCACTCGCACGAAAGGGCCTCGGGGACCATCTCATCGTCGTGAAGCAAGAACACGAGATGAATGAGGCGTGGAGGTTGAGTGACCAGAAGACGCTGGCACGCATCGCTCAGGGGGTGTCTCTGGAACACCAGACCAAGATACGCACTGCTGTTACAGCGAAGCAAGCGTGGGACACACTGAAGGAGTACTACAACCGCTCTACCCTGCAGAATCGCGTGACGATGACCCGCAGACTGCACGAGTTTGCAATGGAGCCAGGGCAAACTATGGCCACGCATCTTGACCGATATGACGAGTTGGTAACGGCGCTGGAGGCTGTTGGCGACGGGATAGATGACGCACGGCAACTGGTAGTGTTGCTCGGCAGCTTGCCTGCTGAGTACAGCACCATAGTGTCGATTGTCGAGAGTACCCGAGACGTAACTCTCATCGAAGTGAAGGAGAAGTTGCTTAAGGAGCACGACAAGCAAGCAACTCAAGAGTCGGAAGAGGCGGCATTCAAGGCCCGCCCTAACTCACGAACAAAGTCGAAGGTGCAGCCGAGGGCTACCAAGAAACTCGGTGGTCCATCCAAGAATAAATTTGGTGGCAAGTGCTTTGCTTGTGGAAAGCGTGGGCACAAGGAGGAAGACTGCAGAAGTTCTCACCAGAATGGCGGCGACGAGACGCTGTTCATGGTTCACCAAGGTGGTGGTGAAGGGTGGCTGATTGACAGCGGTGCATCTTCGCACATGTCGCCGAAAAAGGAGGATTTTGTCACGTACCGACCACTGAAAGTCTATTCGAGTAACCGTCGCAGATGGTGCTGCAATGGAGGCGGTGGGTATTGGGGACATCCACATTCGAGGTTACGAAGACCAACAAATCGTTGTGCAGAATGCACTACATATTCCGAAGCTCGATCGTCGTTTACTGTCTGTACCGCGAATCACTTCTCGGTCACTCGTAGTGAAGTTTGGATCCACGTTTTGCTGGTTCATGCGAAGAAATAAGACGATTCTCAAGGTGCCAAAGGTGGGCAAAGCTTACGAGCTTTATGTTGAGCCCGAACGAGCTGCTGTCGTGAAGCACAAACCTGTTTCGACGCAGTGGGAGTTATGGCATGCTCGTATGGGTCATGCTTCGAAAGCTCGCATCTTGAGTACCCTTAAGGCCACAACAGGATTGCCGTCGATCACCGCGAGAGGCGGCGAATTGTGCTCAGGATGCATGAAAGGGAAGCACACGGTTAGTAGCTTTCCGGGGAGCACAGGTGCGGTGAAGACAAGTCGCGTTCTCGAGCTCGTCCACAGTGATCTGATGGGCCCGATGAAAACAGCATCGAGTGGCGGATCGAAGTATATTCTTCTGTTTGTCGACGATTACTCCCGTTACATTGCTGGCTTCTTTTTGAAGAAGAAGAGCGAGGTGGCGAACTGCTTTCGGAAATACAAGGCCCTCGTAGAGAATCAGTTTTTAGCCACCAAATCAAGGCGGTCAGGTCGGACAACGGCACAGAGTACGTCAACAAGACGTTTGACGGTATCTGCAGAGCAAGTGGCATTGTTCACTAGCTGACGACACCGTACACTCCCCCGCAAAACGGCTTAGCAGAACGCGTAAACAGAACTGTGATGGAAATGGCTCGCCCCATGCTGCATCACAAGCGCGTAAGTTACAAGTGGTGGGCGGAAGCGGTGAACACCGTAATCTACCTATTCAACCGTTTCGTGAACAATGTGAATCCCCACGTGACACCATACGAGATCTGTCATGGCAAACGCCCAAGTTTGGATCATCTACGAGTTTTTGGCTCCATTGGCTACGCGCATGTACACAAGGAAAAGCGTACTAAACTTGACGCTGAGAGCTACAAGTGCATGCTGATCGGATACGCAGAGCAGGCAAAAGCGTATCGCGTCGTCGACTTGGAGACAGGGAAGGTGAAACTCAGTCGATCATTAGCGCTAGATGAGCGTCAAGTTGATGGTGTCTACGCTGAAGCTCCTCGTGACTGACCAATTGAGTACATTGTGTGGAAAGACGTGGACGATGAACTTATGCAACCAGAGCTGAACGCCGGCAGCATCGACGTGGACGATGAACTTATGCAACCAGAGCTGAACGCCGGCAGCATCGACGTGGACATTATCATGGAAGATGTCCAAGAAGCCCCAGCTCAAGTTGCTGCACTTCCCGTCCCAGACGGCATTCCTGCTCTTTTTTTCACTAGCCCCGCCGCCCCGAGGCAATTACCAGCTCCAGAACCTTCTCAACGCCAGGATGTTATGGTTTTTCATCCCACGGAGAACCGCCGTGTTAGTGACCAGTACACGACAAGTATTGTGTCTTACAGCGGATCGGGCAACCGAGGTGACTATCGTGCTAGAGATTCCGTCGTCGCAAATGAGAGCGATTCGGGCACGATGGTGGTTTATGATGGCAGTCACGTCAATGAATTGGAGACAGGAGATCGACCATCAAAGCGATCACGGACGGAAACAGCCCTTATTGCAGGAGAAGTTGCGTTTGCTGCAGATGTGCCTAGCACTTTTGATGAAGCTTTTACTGGACCCGACCAGAAGGAATGACAAGAAGCGATTGCTGCGGAGCTCAACTCCTTGGAGCGGAATAACACCTGGATCGTAATTCCGCGCACCAGCACGATGAAGCCCGTCGGATGCAAATGGGATTTTGCACTGAAGCGTGATGCTGCTGGAAAAATCATTCGCTACAAAGCTCGACTTGTTGCGCGTGGCTTCACGCATGGTCAAGGTGTTGACTTTCACGATACGTATTCCCCAGTGGCCAGCATGAATGCCATTCGTATATTCCTGTCGGTGTGCTGCCAAAAACAGCTCTTGATTTTCCAGTTTGATGTGGATACGGCTTTTCTATATGGCGTTCTTAAGGAGAAAGTGTTCATGAGAGCTCCACCAGGAGTTAAAGTTCCTTCAGGATCTGTTCTCAAACTAGATAAATCAATCTACGGACTAAAGCAAGCTTCTCAGGTGTGGCACAACACCATCCACTCGGCGCTCATCGAGTTTGGTTTTGCTACGTCGTGTACAGATCCTTGTATATTCGTGTATCGGCATGGTGACGATGATGATGACAACGCTGGAAGTCTGGTTATTGTCTGTCGTTACGTTGATGACCTATTGATCGCATCGAAGAAGAGGCAGCTCTTTCGACTCAAGGAGCTCGGAATTGCCAAATTTGTGCTGGGAATTGAGCTGAATCACAATGTCGAACAGCGCGTCCTCTGTCTTTCCCAAAAGAGATACATCATGGACGTCGTCAGTCGTTTCA